TTGCACTGTTATTACTTATCAGCCAGCTTGGTATTTTATTGCACCAAGCATTAGATCAGGAGATAGATTTGGTAATTCTTTCTTGTTTTTTGTATTACCATTTCATCTGAATCTAGTGTTTCAATGCACTAGCGCGGCCTATTATATTTGCAGGCTATCGAGTTACAGTTGTACCATTGGCTGCAGTATTTTAAAAGAATCATTTTTGTTTTGGTATAATGCTTTCTTGAAAGAAACCACAGTGACATGGGTGAAATGGGGTTTTGCTTTGTGTTTATTGACCTTGTTTATTGACATGGATAAATTTATTAATTTTAATATAGAGAATAAGGGCTTGTTTATTAAGAGCTATTTGGCCGAATTAAGTAAACCCGAGAAGTTCTTCAAAGAGTTATTCATTTCAGCCATGGTCGGTTGTCTAGAACCAAAAAAAATTATTCTGCTTCCTCGGTTGTCTAGAACCAAAAATGAAGTTTTTGAATCATCAAAACCAATTGTTGGGCCGCGGGTATGCGGTGCCAGCAACAGCCAGCCTGCCGGTGCAATCGGACCGCGTGGCGCTTCGCTTGTGCTATAAAGGGGAAGAGCGTGCTTCACTATCAGCAATTGCTTTTGGTGTAGCGGTAAGCGCAACGATCCACAAGTGGTATCAGAGCCAAGGTCACGGGTTCGACCCCCGGCAACACCATGCTGCACAGTTGTAGGCTGGCAGGTGCTGGGGGGGAGATTGTTGGGCCGCGGGTATGCGGTGCCAGCAATAGCCAGCCTGCCGGTGCAATCGGACCGCGTGGCGCTTCGCTTGTGCTATAAAGGGGAAGAGCGTGCTTCACTATCAGCAATTGCTTTTGGTGTAGCGGTAAGCGCAACGATCCACACCAATATATGTGTATAGAGTAGTAAACATAAACACCAAAGATTACCATCTTAAACTCAGGCTCTGGGTGGTGTTTGTTATAGGTTGAAAGGTTTTCACTAGTCCATAGCACTGCAAACTGCAGATCTTATCCAATTCATTTTTTCTGTCTTTCGTGATACCAATCCTATCTCCGCCCCCATCCCCATCATTAGAGCACTTCTTCAGTCGTGGTGTTTTCTCTCTATTTGTTAACATGAATCTTTCTGGGAAAAATAGTTTGTTTATTATTATTGAATTAGTTTGCATTAACTCTTTATATGTTTTGTTATAAAGAATGCCTGAATCTCATAGTCATGGTGCATCTAGTACGAAAGCAGCATCTTCTACTGCTACATCACCTTCGCTACATCCTTCAAGGCCACCAGTTCAAACACAACCCCCACCAGTTCAAACACAACCCCCACATTTAAAATCAACAACAGTTCTCCAAAGAGCATCATCCTCGAGAAAAAGAAAAGCACCTCCAGTTCCAAAGGCAAAGCAGCCTACTGTATTAGCTACACTTGAGAAACCATCATCGGAGAGATCTTGGATTTGGGGTCATTTCTCTAAATGCACTGTATTCGAAATGAATCAAGAAGAGAAAGATGGAAAGCAATTGATGGTGGAAAAACAGGTGTTGAAGGCTAAATGTAAACACTCTAGCTCCCTTTTTGCATGTGATACAAATGATGGGAGAACTAGCACTTACATAAAACACATCAATAAACACTGCAAGTCATATCAACCAACAGATGATTTGCAAAAGGTTTTATGTAGTTCTGGACCTTCAGGAGTTGCTCAGAATATGATTGTTGCTAAGGGATGGAGCCAAGAAGAGGCGGTAGAAGGTATTGTTGAGTATATTGTGATTGATGAGTTACCATTCAGTTGTGTTGAAAGTGAAGGGTTCAGGCGGATGATGTGTAAAGTTCAGCCCAAATTGCATGTCCCATCTCGAAGGACAATTGTCAGAAATATATTTGCTATGTATGATACGATGAAAGATCAATTGAAAAGGGAAATACATAGGAATCGAGTGAGTCTGACTACCGATACTTGGACGAGTGTGAAAAACTTGAACTACATGGTCCTCACCGGTCACTTTGTGGATGATGAGTGAGTTATGCACAAAAGCATTCTGGAGTATTGTTTGATATCAAGTCATGAAGCGAAAGAAATTGGGAAGATGATAGAGAGTTGTCTGATTGAGTGGGGGATTGAGAATGTCATGTGTATCTCGGTTGATAATGCATCGGCTAATAAGGTTGCAATTGAATATGTCATCCGAAAAATGAAAAATTGGCCAAACACGTGACTGATTATGAATGGTAAGTTTATGCATGTGAGGTGTTTAGCGCATATTATAAAATTGGTTGTGAAAGATGGGTTGAAAAAACTAGATACAAGTTTGGAGGCTCTTAGAAATGCGGTCCGCTTTGTGAGATCAAGTCCACGAAGGTTCACTTACTTCAAAAAATGTTTGGAGAATGAGAAGCTTGATAGTAGGGGTCTAGTTGTTATGGATGTGCCTACTAGATGGAATAGCACATACATGATGCTAGAATCTTGTATGAAGTTTAAAAAGCTTTCGAAAGAATGAATGAAGATGATGATTCTCGTATATACTCTTCTTACTTTGGAGAAAAAGTTGTAAATGAAGATGGAGAAGAAGTTAGAGGTAAAGGAAGGGTTGGCCCGCCAAAAGAGGGAGACTGGGATAAGGCAGAAGTGTTTGTGAATTTGTTGAAGGCATTTTATCTTGTAACTTTGAAAGTTAGTACAAGAAAGTATCATACGTCTAATACTGTGGTTCATGATGTCATTACCGTGGGGAACGAGATTGAGAGGCTCTTTTTACCTGAATGTATGCAAACAGAGGATATTGCAGCCCATGTGCTACATCTCATTGCAGTTAACATGAGAGCCAAATATCAAAAGTATTTTGGTTCCATTACGTCCTTGAATCAAATATTTGTAGTTTCCCTTGTGTTAGATTTGAGGTTTAAGTTGAGGCACTACCTTCAAATGTGTAAAAGGCAACCGCAGTTCCCCGAAAAGGAGATTTCTCAAAAAAGTGATGAAGTGAAGACATTGTTGAAGACAATGTGTGATGAATATGCTGAGCAAGCTTTCGGTTCACAAGCACATCATAAGGGTAAAGAAGATAGTGCAACAAACAGTTCTTGTTCAAGGGCAAAACAACCATCCTCCACTGTTGCAACAGAAAGTCCAGTGATATTCAGTCAAATGATGGATGATTGGGAGAAAGAACTAGAAGACACCAGAGATATTGCGTTAGGGCATGAGGTAGATAGATATCTCCTTGACACTCTTTAGAAAACACCACTTGGCTCTACATTTGATGTTTTGAAATGGTGGAAGTTGAAAGGAAGAAATGCATATCCAACACTGGCTTTGATAGCAAAAGCTGTGTTGCCCATTCAAGTGTCAACGGTGGCTACCGAGGGTGCTTTTAGTACAGGAAAAAGAGTAATTGATCCTTTTAGATCTTCTCTCCTTCCTCAAACAATGAAGACGTTAATATGCCTCAAAAATTAGTTAAGAAGTGACCCGATTTCCAACATTGAGTATGAAGCAAATCCAATGGAACTTGAGTTCTATCAAGAGTGCGAAGAAGGTAAATATATTTTTGTATATTTAACAGCCAGTTATTATATTAATTATTTATAATTAACATGCTTTTGTTGTCTATGCTAGAATATAACCAAAGAAGAGCGATATTGATCACAAAAGAATGCTCAACTATACAAAGTGAAGTTGGAGCTCCTCAAGCATGAGAAATAATAAAGGAAAGAAACCCTTGGTATGCTTTTAAAATGAATAGGTTGGATAATAAATTATTTGCTTCTAATACACTAAATTATTTGCAGGATTAATTTCTGATTTTTTGCCTTCCTGGAGTATGTTTGTGAGAAGTTAAAGTTACTGTTTGTGGTGAGTTTTTGTAATTTAGTGCTTTTTTGGACTAGTTTATTTTAATCCTCGCGGTGAAGTTAAATTATTTGTGAAGTTTAATTTTGTGCCTTGTGATGAGGTTAATTTTTTATGCTAGTTTCACTAGTTTAACTGGTTTCACTAGTTTAACAAGTTTCATATCTAAATCTATAGGAATAGAAACCATCTTGGGAGTAGGAAACAACAAGACTACTACAACTATGACAAATTGATAACTATATCTTTACTAAAATTATTATTCTAGTAAAATTGTGATAATTATATTACTAATTTAACAAACTTCACATTATGTGCTTTTCAGGTATTTGGAGACTTGGAGTAGTCATGGGAGTTATGTTTTTTGTGTCCCGAGAATTGTTAAGGCCGACAATGAATCTCAAATTTTCTATATTTCAGTTTTGGAGATTCAATAAGCTTTCAGTTGTTTCAACAGACAAATACTCCGTATGAATTGATTGGTTGAAACTGATGTGTCCGAATTCTATTACTTTAATTGATCCCTACTGTTATGGTCCTATCTTTTTAATTGGTTGAAACTGATAGTTTTTATGAAATGACCAAAACAGTACGTGAAGATTGTATTACTTTAAAGAATACTTGGATTTCAGATTGTCATTTTAATATTTTATCTTTTATATATGAACTTGTCACTTCTATTAGATGTGAACAAGTATGTTGTTATTTGGAAACTTGTCAATGTACTATATTATTGATTATTGATTATTGATTTTTTGAACTTCATAAGTTTTAGTGGTTTACTACTTTTAGGACATGGAAATAGGAAGCGAAAAACCCGGACCGGATCGACCCGTTTCAAATGTCCGGGTAAGGTCCGGTTCCTATTTTGAAACTTGCAATGCTCGGACCGGACCGGACTGTATAAAGGAATCGGCAGTTCCATTTTATTTTGCATTACCCGCCCGATCCGGCCCGTGCCCAGCCCTAATTCAAATCAGACCAAAGGGGACTTTAAACAATACGTGTGTACACCACCACTCCTCGAGTAGAGGTTTTCCTTTTCGAATGGTTGAGTACAATTCACGCTATTAGTTGCGCGTGAGATAGGATTTTAATTCACTCTCACGCGTATATTCTTTATGAGGAGTATTATAACCATTAATTATGGGAAAACGCGTGAATGTGTATCCTATAAAAGCAATGCCCCAACTAACTTGAAACGGACGAAATCTCTCTGTAATTAATCTCTCTCTCTTCCTCCCAAATCCTCAACAATGGCGAAGAGCGAGCGCGATTCGAAAGAGGACGTCGTTCCCGGAGGCCGTGTGGACGACGTGGAGAAGGTTTTCCGGAAGTTCGACAAAAATGGCGACGGCAAAATATCGCTATCCGAGCTCAGCACGATTCTCAATGCCGTCGGCCCTGTGACGCCACCGGAGGAGGTGAATCACATAATGCTGGAGCTGGACACCAACGGCGACGGTTTCATCGATAAGAAGGAATTCGCCGCTATATATTGCCCCTCCAGCGGCGGCGACTCCAACGCCGATGAAAAGGAGCTTCTGGAAGCCTTCAACCTATACGACATCGATAAGAACGGGAAGATCACTGTCAGTGAGTTGAAATTGGTGATGGAGAGCCTCGGAGAGAAGTGTTCGAGCAAGGACTGCAAACGCATGATCAGGAAAGTCGATGTCGATGGAGACGGCTGCGTTAACTTCGAAGAATTCAAAAAAATGATGAGTAAGAGTTGATTAACCGGACGTCTAGGTTCGTTTATTAGGACTAATCCTTTGTTTCATCGGATTAGATGCGTAATATCGTTTTATATTGCTTGTGATATAGTCCGAAGTGTTAATTTGTCAAGCAATAAAATGTTGATATAACTTAATTTGATTTTTTCTCTTATCATCTCTGAGGTCGATGTTATTCACTACGGAATACGGATTATATTACACAGTACTTCGGATATTGTGAGCCACTTTCAAAAGATTTAAAACAGTTTCATTGTACGTCTTTTTGAAAGGAAAACAGTTTAATGCGGAGTATGAAGTTGTTACTCAGATTAAGGAAATTTTGAACACGAGTAGTTTACTGCCCTTCGGATTTTGGACAATACCGGCAGTTATAATACGGAGTATAATAGTATGATTTGTATTGAAGTTTAACATTGCGCAAATGGTAAAAGTACCTCAAACTGTACCTCATTTTTACCTCACCCCTACCTATTCCCTAATGTGTGGTCATAAATGGGACAATTCATTTAAATGAAACACTACTTAAATGAATTGGCTCATTTATGACCACACTTTGGAGTACCTCTGGCAAAACTCTTAACATTGTTTTAACTTTTAACTCATATTTGGGGAGATGCTTCCCACTAACAAAGTGTGTTGGACATTTAGATTGTGCACCACATTATTAATCTAAATTGAAATTTACATAATATTTTTAAAATCATAAATAATTTTTCCCAAATACTTAAAGATCTCTCAAATATTAACTTAATATAAAAATAAGATAACCAACTCCAATGTCCGTGTTTTACATTTTCATCATTCTTATTGAGTGATTTGATTTGATACACGTGTTAAAAATTAACTACTTAACCTGTGGTTTAGAATTTTTTTAGACTGTAATTTGCTGGTTTGGTCTGATATTTTTCGATCTAGTCTGGTTTGATCTGTTCTGATCTGGTCTGGTAAGTGTCTTGTCTCTGTGTATTTTAGGATGTTTTTATTTAGATTGAAATTTGTTGGTCTGGTCTGTTTAAGTCTGGTCTGGTCTGGTCTGAACTAGTCTGGTTTGGTTTGGTATATATCTGGTCTCTGTGTATTTTATAACTACTGAAGTCTGGTCTGGCTGGATCTGAACTGGTCTAGTTTGTTTAAGGTTGGTCGTCTCATATGGGACTGAAAACAGTCAAAGTAATTAAGTAAACGATCAGACTGATCTCTCATGTGATTGGTTCCTAAATTATTGCCAAAACGAGCGAGCGTACGGTTCCTTAATTGTTACTAATCTCTTAGCGAACGATTAAGTGTGTGTGAAATTTCCTAGCATAAATTATATCTCTCTTAATTTATTCTATGTGCAATTATAATCTTAGCTGGAGTCTAGGTTACAAGATATATCAATTAAATCATTCAAACACAAATTGAACAGAGATCATGTCATTAATCCCTCAAGAAAATAACCATAGATCATGATTAACCCCCTTCATCAATCCCAAATCCCTAATTAAACCTACTCACAATTCATAATTGAAGAATCAAGAGAATTGAGATGAAAAGAATTAACTGTCATTAATTAAAAAGAAGGAACTTACAAAGAATCTGACAATCTTGATGAACAAGGCTCAAAAAGCTCTCATAACTCGAAACACGGTTTATCTCTCTAAGTTCCGTTATGTAAAATAGACAAACAAGGGTTGTGTAAATAGAAAAGGATGGAAAGTGGCTGAAAACCGACCCGCACAGTCATCAGCACGACGTGCGGTTACAGTGCGGGTGCGTGTTAAAAATTTTCGTCTCGTATCTACTCCGCCCGCACGGTCCGACCGTGAGGGTACTTCTGAACCGTGGAGCGCGTGGGAATGATGCACAGGGCGTGCAGACGTCTTTTGAGTCGTTTTCTTGCTCTTTTCTTCCCCGATCGCTCCAGATCGATCCTATCTTCAATCTTTGACCTCTTTTACCTCAAATCACGCTCCTAAATCATCCCATCAACCTCTGATGCTTCTTGTCATCTCGTGAATGCATCCCAAATCTTCTCAAATTAAGCTCTAACGCTGATGTCGGGTCCGAATTCCTACTTTTCTCAACAAATGCAAACCAACCCGATAAACCGTGACTTGAGCTAATTAAACGCTTTGTGACTCAATTAGATTAGGAAAAGTGACAAAATTCAATCCCAGCATGCATCAAATGCGTGTTGAAATACGAATTTATCAACGAGCGAGCGTACGGCCCCTTAACCGTTACTAATCTCTTAGCGAATGATTAAGTGTGTGAGAAAGTGTCATAGAATAAATTAGATATCTCTTTTAATTTATTCTATGTGCAATTATAATCCTAGCTGCAATTCTAGGTTATAAAAGATATCAATTAAATCATTCAAACACAAATTAAATAAAGATTATGCAATTAAACCATCAAGAAAATAACCCTAGATCATGATTAACCCATCATCAATCCCAAATCCCTAATTAAAAATACTCACAATTCATAATAACGCTCTGTAGTCGTCCCGTGGACCTCCGATGCTTCTTACTATCTCTCAAACACGTCCCAAATCTTTTCAAATTAAGCTCTAACACTGATGTTGGGTCTAAATTCCTAATTTTCTCTTCTAAACACAAATCAACCTGGTAAATCGTGATTGATGTTGTGACTCATAAAAATCAGGAAATGTGACTTAACTTATATATTATAAGTTAATCTTAACATACATCAAATGCGTGTTGAAATACGAACTTATCAAATTCTTCCACACTTAAGCCTTTGCTTATCAGTTGTCACTCATTCTGTAACAGCAGCCAGCTGTCATACTTACATGTGTGGCTTATCCAGTCATCCTGTTACACAAAGGACAATCATTTGTACACGTGGCATTCATTTGGGATATTAGTTATTTCACTTGTTTTCCGAGTATTTTCATATTTTACACTATAAATATGACCTTCCAACTTGTGGAAATGGGTGAGATTCTAAACTTTCAAGTAGTCAAATTTTTGACACTTCACTACCGGAGTAAGTAGAATTATCATGTGTATTGATGCCTAGCAGTAGTATGAGAAAAGGAGTATAATTACCTGATGGAGTATATGGGTCTGAGCCCCAGGACCCACATACTCGGAAGAACAGAAAGCACAAGACAACAGAGTGGCGCCCTCGTCGGCCAAGACGCCCCCTTCGGCCGAGAAGAAGCCAACTCGAATCATGCTCCTGAGTCCAAGGAACCCGGGTGCCCTCGTCGGCCGTGCCCTCGTCGGCCACGCCCTCGTCGGCCACGAGGACCTCCCAGAATCGGATCCTATACTTACTCATTTGTACAGCCCATTAGAGGCTTTGTATCCGGCCCAGTAGCGGTCCAGTTGTAAATGGGCCTCCCAAGCCCAAGGCTTGGGAGCCCAACCCTAATTTTCCCTATAAATACTCCCCTTGGGAGTAGTTATAGGGGTTACAAAATCATTCTATTGAAGCATATATTGCACTTCTCTCTCTAGCTCTCACTTCTCTCTAGAATCTCGGAGTTAATACTCTATCATTTGGTGCTCTCGTTGAGAGCTAGAACAATCAAGTTAGCACCCTTCGTCGCTACCAAGCACAGCTAACCACTGATCATGGGGAGAACTAAGTCAAACCGCAACCTCGTCAGCAAAGTCATCCCTGAGGACCAAGAGCCCAGGGAGCACGATGAGGACGCCACGGCCGACCAGGTCGGCGGAGGGGACCTCTTCCAGGAGGCCTTCAACCTCACGACGGACCCCCGCAACCAACTCAACAGCGGAGTCCCCGACGCCCGCCTCGGCCTGGAAAAGAGACGGGCTGAGAAGACGGACCACGCCCCGGCCCAGCCTATGGCCGCAGCCTCTCCGTCCGTGGATCCACAGGTCCAGGCCGCGCTGTCGGTCATCATCGCCAGCCTGGCTCAGAACCCCACCGTCCTCAGCGCACTCTTGCCAAGGACCGGGGGAAACGTCACTCCACCTCCTCATCCCCAACCGTTGGCCGTCCAGATAGGCAACAATGAGGGGGTTGTGGCCCAGGACACGGCATCGTCCCACTCCCACCCTGCTTCCCCTCTTCGGCCCGGGCAGACCCCAGCGCGTGGAAAAGCCTCCGCCTTCAATAGGCTGGGTGACACGCGCCGTCGTCCGGTTTCGGAGAGGATGGCGGGACGGATTGGTGATCCTCGTCCTGGCTCGCCAAGGGAAAGTTTGGGGTCTCTGTCCCGGACAGCGGACCAGCCCCGCCCGGACAAGGGAAAGGGGAAGTTGCACGAGGATGACGCGCGTCACCAGATCAACGCGGCTCACAACGAGCGCCTGAGGAACCAGCCGGGCGCCGCTGCGGCCGACAGGGACCCCCGGGACGAGGTCATCGCCCAGCTGGAAAGGAGGTTGGCTCAGATGGAGGCCAAGCAGTCGGCCAACATCCCTACGGCCGGCGCCTCCAACGACCCCGGCCTCAACGCGCTCATGAACAAAGTCAGCGCCCTGGAGAGGGAGCTGGCCGAAGGGCGAGGTGACCCCATCATCCAGGTCAGGACTAGGACCCCTTTCACCAACAGGGTCCTCTCGGCCCCCATCCCTGAGAAGTACAGGGGGAACGCCATCAAGTCCTACGATGGCCGATCAGACCCCCAGGAGCACTTCAGCCGCTATCAAAACAACATGCTGATGGTGAACGCGTCCGACGAATACCTCTGCCGTTGGTTCCTCTCTACTCTCGAGGGGCCAGCGTACGAGTGGTTCAATGGACTGCCAGAGGGAAGCATTGACTCATGGCAAGATCTCGCCCAGCGCTTCCTCACTCACTTTGCCGGGAGGAAACGCGCCAAGAAGTATTTCACCCACCTCCTCTCCGTCAAACAGCAGCACGAGGAGTCCCTCCGGTCATTCATCGACCGATGGACGAGGGAGACCGAGGAGGTCGAGGGGGCCGATGAGCGCACCCTCCTCGCCTTGTACCAGGGAGCCCTCCGCAGCTCCCCGTACGCCAGGAGCCTCATCACCGACCCCCCGAGGTCGTACACCAAGGCGCTCCAGCGCGGAGGCTTGTACGCCGACGCCGACGAGCTCCACAATCACAAAAGAGAGGGGGGCCATCCCCCCAAGAAGACAAATCCTTCTCCGGCCTCGGGCCCGTCCCCGGCCGGCCAGGGTGCCCAGGGCCGCCACGGCTCTGGTGGACAAAATAAGAAAGACCGCCACTGGCGGCCGAGGCTGGAACGGCCGGGGGTAGCCCTCACCCACCCGGTCGGCACCATCCTCGATTATGCCGAGAAGCACGGCCTCATCGAGCAGGCTCCTCGGCCGGCCGAGGAGGTCCTGGC